GAAACCGCAAGAGAGGGAGGAAGACTGCTCAGCATATATTGGGACTTGTAAATTCTTATAAGGTGGGAGGAGGGACAAAGTACAGATGAGACTTGAAAAAGAGGCAGAAGTCAGGTAAAGTAAAGGTTTTGTATCCCAGCTAAGTTTTGTTAAAGCCACATTCCAGCAGAAAATAGCTGTGAAGAGTACCAACATATTCTTTATCATCTACAATCCAAATGTGCCGCCATTCATGCAAAAAAAAGGGGGGAGTTCGGGAAGGAAAATAATATCTAAGTCCTTTCAGCCTTCTTGATAACTGGCTTAGATAGCTTTGCAGCAGCATCTTCAAAAATAATCATTAGTGAATAAGATGGTAACAAAATTTAGCACATATTGCTGAATAAAGTATACACATTGCATCATTTCTATTTACCAACCTTCCCTAAAGTCCAGATAAAATACAGTAAATTGACTACTCGAAGAAACTACTGACTTCCATCATAACCATATAGTGGAGGTATCTTGGTATGTAATGACAATGGTCAGATTTTTTTATAACCAATCCTTATTTGGTTATAAACACAGAAACTTGTATAGCTCTGAAAAATTCTAAGTGATTATTTTAATGTTCTTTGACTAGTCAGGTATTTTTACAGATTAAAAAAATGTTATTTCCCACTGGGAAGCCAACTCAAGCATTCTGAAAATGTCTCCCTCAGAATGCTTCAAAGTCACTTTTTTAATTAAAAGATTTAATATAGCTTCACTTATTTATCAAAGAGCCAACATTGTGCTTTAACCTCAAATGTTCACCAAAAGCTAACATTTCCAAACAATTATATTTTCCAAACAATTACATTTTGTCACAGTAAAAAAGACTATCGCAGTACAAACACAAACAAAATAGCGATATCTTGCTGTTCCTCCAAAGAGCTGTATATTCCAGAGGATACAGTTTTTGTCAGTGTGAGTATAAGCTATTATCTTCAGAATAAGAAGCTGACATGTAGTCAATAGTTCCTCTCACTGGCTTTCTGGATATTCTACATATTCAAATACTGATTCTGAGTATGAGTTTTGCTGCATCTCTTTTGGGCAATATAGATTAAAAGGTTCACATGTGCTTCTCTCAACAGAAGATAAAAAAATTAAACCAATGCTGTCTTTATTTAGAATGGAATTCCCTACCCTCCAAGAAATGTTAATTGAATTTCTGCTGTCTTAATGGCTATCTCTGAGTCATAAATCACTGGGATGGTTTTTATGAAGAAAATCTGCCATTTTCTTTATTGTAGTAAACAAATTCAACTTCATCATTTACTTTTAAGGAAGAAATGAGAAAAGTATAGCTTTCTTTAATTACAATATTCATATTTTTAACAAATATAAAGAGCTGCAAAGAGTAAATCCTGAAATACCCACCACCATTAATCATCGAAGACATCTTTATAAATTTATTCTTTGCTTCTTTTCTCTTTGCTACCTACGATGGAAAGGGTTCTTTCTCCCAGGAAAACTTTAAAAGGTAGAGCCAATTCTCATTTGTCTGAGATAATCTGAATGCCACTTTGGATAGGAGGCTTGCCAAAAAATAACCTTGCAACTATCAACTGTAGCATCATGGATATTGCTGAATTAAGGAAATGACTCATTACTCATTCCTAGTGAGCTACGTGAGGAATAAGGAAATGAATTATTTTCCTATTTTAAGTCAATGCACTCATACAAAATTGTGGATATGCATGAATGAACCACTATTAACTATCTACAGGCTGGGCACGGTGGCTCACACCTGTAATCCTAGCACTTCGGGAGGCCGAGGCGGGAGGATTGCTCAAGGCCAGGAGTTCAAGACCAGTCTGAGCAAGAATGAGACCCCATCTCTACCAAAAATAGAAAGAAATTAGCCAGACAACTAAAAATCTATATAGAATAAATTAGCCGGGCATGGTGGCACATGCCTGTAGTCCCAGCTACTCGGGAGGCTGAGGCACAAGGATCGCTTGACCCCAGGAGTTTGAGGTTGCTGTGAGCTGGGCTGACGCCACCGCACTCTAGCCTGGGCAACAGAGCAAGACTCTGTCTCAAAAAAAAAAAAAAACTATCTACAAAGAAATATTTGCAGTTCTGAAAAGTATTGTCCATATACTGATGGTCAGATTTCATAATATACCTAATACAAAACTGTACAGAATTATCAGTTTGGAAGCTCATTAAATGCAGTCAGAGATTTCTGATCTAAAAATTATATAGCTAATAAAGCCAATAACATACCACCAGTAACCACCCTAGAAAGGTTATTCTTTTGGGGATGAGATTCTAGTTGTTTCCATGTTCCATCATGTAACCATGATGACTTTATCCTTACCCATTCACACTACCTTGACAGGTAATCCATAATTCTTACTCTTATGAATTTATGAAATTTATATTTTAACACATTACTTGCTGGCATGACAAAACTGTCTTTGGTAAGCCAAATTGGAAATTTTACACATCAGCTGACACTGAGTTACTATATCACAGTGTGACTTATCAGACAATAATTTCATTTCTGAAAAACAGCATCTTTGCCATCTTTAACTTTATTCTAGTTAACTTCAATGGTAAAAAGCATGGAACATAAACAGCTAATGCCCACCACCTCTTTCCTAGGTCCAAGGGACTGTTTGAAGGGAATTTAACATTGATTAATTTATTTGATCTTTATAACAATCCTATGATGTAGGAAACATTATAATTCTTATTTTACAGATAAAGAAATTAAGGTACACAGAGGTAAAACAATTTGCCCAAGATCACACTGCTAGTAAATGATAAAGATTGGATTCACATGTACGTAGCCTCTTTCCAGACCCTGATTATAATCTTTGTCTCCCTTCTAAACTGATATCCCATAAATTTAATATAACTGAGACAAAGACAGAAATCATTAGGAATGGCATGAGTAAGGAATCGTTAGCCTTAAATGGCCATAAAATACTCCATTGTATATTTGTGAAGGAAAAAATAACAAAGTTAAAGAGTATGTACAAAAGACTAGAATCTTAACCATTAAAACTGCATATACATGGTGAAATATTATAGGAAATTTTTTAATATTTTCCTTTCGAACATGAGAATGGCTCAATTTAAACTTTTTTTACGTGTTTCTTAACATGTACATGTTTTTTAAGAATGCATTATACACAAAAGCGGAAGCCTTACTATTGCATAGTTGGATTTAATAAACCTTTATTGATCACCTAGTCTGCACTGTAATACAAACTGGATATACAAATATAATTAAAACATGAACTCTAAACACCATCAGCTCACAAATAAGTGACATATATTTAATATAAAAAAACACAATGTGATAAAGAGAAATGAAGGAAGTATTTACAAAGTAGAGGGGTGGCAAATTGAGCTGGAATGATTTGCTCTGCAAGAGGGGAAAAAAAAGGAAAAGTAAGGATTCCAAAGGAGGTAACATCCTCAGCTGGCACATAACCGATGAAACAGATTAATGGGTGTAAAGGTCATCTTGGGCAGAGATCTTGAAAAGGGAAAACAGTATGTGTAAAGACACAAAGGGGTAGTCAGAAGGGCATGGCAAGCTGAGAAAGCTCAACAAGGTGGTATGGCTACAGCTTGAAATTCAAGGCAGGAGATGAAAAGAGCTGGAGTAATGAATAAATCACAAAACTCCATTAGAAGTATTCAGACTTATGATGAGGATCCACTAAAGGGACAAGAGGGTTAACAACTCTATCCTATTCATACCTGAGTTGTGTTTTCATCCTTAAAAATAAATGTTTGATGACAATATTTCCTGAACTTTCAAAGTGAACCATCTCTCATCCCTGCCTAAAAAACAAAGTTATACCAATAACAAAAAAGTATTCTAGTTTCTAGATACCAAACACTGTACTAAATTAGAAATTATGCAGAATAGTGCGATAAACCTTGGAATCAACAGAATTAGTTTATTTAATATCTTAGCAGCAAGAAATTAATGAAACAGAACAATATTTCATTTTGATTCGAGCAATCTATAATTATTATAGTTTAATTCTGAATCAAATCCTGTAACAGTTTAAATTCAAACTATATAAACAATGCTAAGGAGCAGGAAGTCTACTCCATTTGACCTCAAGTTCTAATTTATTTCCCATTAAAGGCAACTGAGAGTCTAGATTTGGAAGTAATATACTGTAGTAACAATACCTACCATTTACAAAGTGCTTTACATTTTCAAATCCCTTTACATTCAACATTTTATTCCTTTAATAAGTTTATTATGGAGGTGTCACTTCTACCATGTAATGAAAGAAGCAGAGAAAAAAATTCATGCACAGCAAGAGTCAAGGGCAGTCTTTCCTACTGAACAGAAAAATCATCTAAGATCAAGCTATGAAAAGTACATGAAATAATATTCTGTGTCCTATACTGTGAGATACATGCAAGACACTATATGACACTCGGCTCTGAGGTAGTCCAATAAAAATAACATCAAGACTTGTTTTATGTAGGTCTCAATGTGGCTCTTTTGCCAAGACCAATCCAAAAACAGACTTTTAAAACCACACCTCTAGAGCAGCACTGGTGATACATGGTGAGGGAGGTCCTCTGGCAAACTTTGTTTTGCTATCTGAAATGCCAGAATAACCTATTTCAGAGAGACAAGCTATTAATATACACAGGGACAAAGTTATTACAAAAGAGAAATCTCAAGGTCAGTGTAGATACAGGTATAGATGTAAGTGTTGTATTGATACCGGAAGGGTCCAGGCATAAAACTAAAGGCTGAAGTTAAGTTTCCATTCCTAGATTAGACCAAAATTCCACTATTAAACCACCACTCAAGATGTCCAACAAATGCCTGAAAATTCTTAGAACCAATAGTAGTTATTTATATCCTCATCAGCTTGTTCATTTTTAATCTTTCTAAATTTTAAATCTTTTCTGAAACAAAGGAGAATTTAAATTAGCTAACTAAAGAAACAGTAAACAAAAAAGTGAAAAAAAAATAGTACCTTTATATCAAAATTACAATCAAGTCTTCTAATTAACACAATGAAAGCGCCAGATGAATTGTCTTTTAGTGGTGGAGGCACTATAGGTTCACAGGCATTCTCTGGTTTTGAATTAATCAAAAAACCCTGAAAAAGAATTGGCAATAAGTTATCTTTCTTTCACTCAATGAATCAATCAACTTACCTCTACAAACATGTTTTTAATTTGTTTCATATGTTTTGCATTCCTTGATGTATCATACAGCAACTACAACTGCTCACAATCCCCGAAGTTCTCAAGCAGTATTTGGTTTAATGAGCATTCAGTTTTTTAAATTAAAGTATTTTTTAAAAAATCACACATAAGCCAATCACCACGAAGACAACCACTGTTAACATGATGGTATATTTTTCAATAATATTTGACATTTCTAAACCAAGCAAATACTTTTTAAAATTTGACTTTCAACTTTCTTTCATTGATACTGGAACAATGAAAATGCATCTAATAAATAAACTTCTAGGAATTTATTCTACAGAAACACTAGCCTAAATATATAAAGGTATACATGGAAAGATGGCCACTGCTACATTGTTTTTAATAACAAAAACTGAAAATCATGCACATCAGCAGGCAACTATTTAAAAACCATAGTATATTAATAGAAAAATAATGCAACCATTAAAAAACGAGCTAGATATATATATATAAAGACAAGATAATTATGAATTTAAAAAGAAAATATCAAGTTACTTTCCCAGGAATGTAGGATGATTTGACATCAGAAAACGTATTAATACAAACTGTTTATGACTAGATTAAAAGAGAAAAGCCAAATGTTTATCTCAACAGATGTAAAAAGATGAATAAACATACAAAAAGAATTCATTTATAAGAAGAAATGAGCAACTAAAGCTATGACACAATGCCTTAACAACAGTTCTGCATGGTGCTTGAACTGGTCATGCCAACCATCTATTCCACAGGATTTGGCAATTTTTCCCGCCTTAGGTTACACTGCTTGTGATAAGCAAAGCTTTTGCACATTTCTGGTATAAGATGCATCAGTCCTTCATTTACTCATAGAATACCTCCTCTTCTTGATTCCACATAGCACTTAGTTTTTGCTTTCCAAGGAAATAGAACTTGGTCATCCTTCCAACAATGAATATTTGCTTCACTCTTGTTAAATTTACACCCTGCTCTCTTTTCTGTGCCTTTCTGCACACGCTAACTTTTTGCTTTAATGCCAAATCACACAGTGCAGGAAATCTTTTCAACATGCTTATACTAATAACAGCAATTAAAGTCAACCCATATAGTATCAAAAGGCATATAACTCAACTGAAGAGAAAACAATATAAACTACAGCCAAATTTCCCATGTCCAGGTGATGACAACACCATCATAAATGCCACCTGGCTGATACAATTGAAAGATACATCCCAACTCCAGAGATGTTAAAATGTGGCGTAATAAAATGCATTGTAGAATCAATGAAATATGATATGTACAGACACAAAAAGGGTCTACAAATGAAACTAAAAAAGGATTTTTGCTTTTTAGTCATTTCTGTGTTGTTGAATCTGTCAACAAGCACGTGTTATTTTTAAACCTAAGAAAATTTATAAAAATCAAGCACACATAAGCTAAAAATCCAAAAATCATTCTTTTTGTCTTGATAGAAAATTGACTGAAGCCTTCTTAAATTTAGTGTTAAATATTATCTTTCCTGTGAATTATACTAAAAATAACTTGCAAAAATAGTTTACTAATTCCTATCCTTCCTTCAGATGTGAGTCATTTAAAACTAAGTACACAGTTTCAACCACAAAGTCTACCAGTAGCATAACGAACTTTGCCAATTAATTTGACAGAACTCTCTGGTCCCTAAAATAAGAGTGGCCAAGAAGGTGCTGCCTTAAGCCAAAGCCACCTGCTCAGTATCACCCTCCTGGGCCAATACTTTCTTGTTGAAAGAATGCTTGCTCTGCAATCAAAGATGCTCTTCATCTCTATCTTTGATGGGGCACCTTACGTTACTATGTAGGAGGACTAAAAAAACCTACCAGTGCCCAGGAAACTCAGAACCTGGATGCCCACCTTTCTTATCTTTTTTGTTGTAATCCTCTGATAATTAAACAGGGATTCTGAAAAATACTAGTGCATGCAGACAGGTATCTCAATATCATCAAACGTATAATTAAATATATAATGCAATAGGTTTATGATATATAAATATGTTACTTTTCTTTTAAAAAAGCTTTTAGGACTATAATGTATATTAGTCAAAGGGGAAAAAAAATCCCATAATTTTCTGTTTGATGAACTGTCACAAATTGAACACACCTGTATGAAAAAACAGATCATTAACAGCACTCCAGAAGCTCCCCCCATCCCTCCTGCCAGTCAGCATTCCCCAACGACATCCCCAATGATACTATATGAACTTCTAATGGCTTAGATTTCTTTTTGCCTGATTTTACACTTGACATAAACAGAACCACACAACATAATAAATGCTCTTTTCTACTTTTTTCTCTCAGTACTATATTTGAGAGATTCATCTTTACTGTTGAGCATCTCAACTATTGAGAAATACTTTATAAATCTTTCATTTTCACTTCTACATAGTATTCCAATGTGTGACTATACCACAGTTTATTCTACTGTTCTTGAGTATTCGGGTAATTTCAAGTTTGTGGCTATTATAAATAGTGTTATGATAAAAAGTCTTTTTGTGAACACATGTATACACACATATCTATTAAACATATACACAGAAGTGGAATCATAGGATATAACAAGATGAGTCACAGGGTATCAAGCTTTAATAAATACCGCCAAGCAGCTTTTTAAAGTGATTTGGGTTACTAATTTTTTTTTTCTTTTTTGAGACAGGGTCTCACTCTGTTGCCTGGGCTAGAGTACAGTGGCATCATCATGGCTTGCTGCAATCTCAAATTCCTGGGCTCCAGGGATCCTCCTCCCTCAGCCTTCTGAGTAGCTGGGACTATAGGTGCATGCCACCATGCCTGGCTAATTTTTCTATTTTTTGTGGAGATGGGGTCTCACTCTTGTTCAGGCTGGTCTCGAACTCCTGATCTCAAGCAATCCTCCTGCCTTGGCCTCCCAAAGTGCTAGGATTACAGGCATAAGCCACCACACTCAGCTGAAGTTTATTAATTTTTAAATGGAATAGTCAAATTACCGACACTTAAAAACCACAGTAAACATAATCTTGTTTTAATGCTTCAGAAGATATTTCGAACTATGCAGTATTTCAGGGTAAATGTTATGGAAATAGTTACTGTTCTTGACAAATTATACTGGTTAATAAAGTCATAAAGAGAGAAAAAAAATTGATAAAGTGATTTTGTTTAAAAGATTGTTCTAGGCTGAAGAGTCTTAGACTTTCCTTCCCTTTGGCTTGCACTGAATGGCAAAGCATACAATTAGTAAAATTTAATATGTGCATATCCAGTGATAATGTCAAAAGAAAAGCCAAAAGCAAGGTAACAAAGCATCTTTCTTTTAGTAAGAGTGTAAAAGTGCAAGTGGGAAGAGAGGGAGAAAAGTTGTAAGTTGTTTTGTTAATGAATACCTGAAGTTATGAATTAATAATAATTACAGTAATAGCAAGAAGTCAACAAATCTCACATTTGTTGAGTCATGGCACTCAGCACTATGAGCCATGCATTATGCCCTTTAAATGTACTAATTCAATCAATCTGTGCAATAACTCTGTGATGTAGCTATTAATATCATCCCCATTTTACAGATGAGGAAAGTAAGTCTCAAAGGTTAGGTACTTGTGTAAGGTTATGCACAGCAGGCATGCAATCCCAGAAGTCTGACTCCAGACCCTGTCTTCTCAACCACTATGCTGTACTGTCTCCTCAAGACACACACACACACACACACACACACACACTCTGAGTGAAGAACAAAATAGGCAATAAGTGGAGGAAAGGATATTTATAAAAATAAACAAACCAAATGTTTGTCTAAAAAGCAATTAAGACTGATTCCAAAGTTTGGCTGATTCCAAATATTTCAAATGATGATGATGTCAACAGAATCTTGCTGTCTTAACTTTTTTTTACATTTGAACACAGACCAAAAGAGTTGAAGTGATCAATCAGATTTTGTTATCAGCTATAGCTTTCCAATGTGAGAAAGATGAATTTATATCAACAACTTTCTAGAATGCTAAAAATATCCACTGCCCTTTTCTCTAATTGTTTTTTGTATTTTTATTTTTTGATACATTATATTTATAGATATTTATGGGGTACATGTGAAATTTTGTTACATGTATAGAATGTGTAATGATCATGTCAAGAGTATTTAGGACATCCATCACCTGAGTGTTTATCATTTCTATGTGTTCGGACCTTTTAAGTCCTCTCTTCTAGCTATTAATATTTTTAAATCTACAATACTTAGTTGTTAACTACAGTCACCCTACTCTGATATCAAACATTAGAACTTATTCCTTCTAACTAACTGTATAATTTTACCCATTAACCAACCTCTCCTAATTCCTCCGTCTCCCAGACAAACATCCCAGTCTCTGTTATCTATGATTTCACTCTTCCACCTCCCCAGTTTCTGGAATCAATCATTTCAGTCTTTTACCTCCATGTGATCAACTTTTTTAGCTCCCACATATAAGTGAAAATACATGATATTTGTCTTTCTGGGCCTGGTTTATTTCGCTTAACATAATGACCTCCATCCTTGTTGTTGCAAATGATATGATTTCATTCTTTTTTGTGGCCAAATAGCATTCCATTGTGTATGTACCACACACATTCTCTTCATTTATTCATCCATGGATAGACACTCAGGTTGATTCCATATCTTTGCTATTGTAAACTGGGCTGCAATAAACATGGGAGTAGAGATATCCCTTTGATTCATTGATTTATTTTCCTTTGGACAAATACCCATAATGGGATTGCTAGATTATATGACAGTTCTATTTGCAGTTTTTTGAGAAATCTCCATACTGTTTTCCACAGTGGCTACACTAATTTACATTTTAATTAATGGGTACATAATAGTTGTATATGTTTATAGGGTACATGTGAAGTTTTGATAAGGCATACGATGTGTATTAATCAAATAAGGGTAATTGGGGTATCCATCACAAGCATTTATTGCTTCTTTGTGTTAGGAACATTCTAATTCCACTCTTTCATTTATTTTAAAGTATATCATAACTTTTTCTTGACTATAGTCATTTTGTTGCACTATCAAATACTCTTCATTCTATCTAACTATAATTTTTGTACCCATTAACCATCCCCATTTTATCCACACCCCCCCACTACCCTTTCTAGCCTTTGGTAACCATCATTCTACTTTCTATCTCCTTGAGATCAACTGTTTTAATGCTTAGCTCCCATATATGAGTGATAACATGCAAGATTTGTCTTTCTGTGTCTGGATTAATTCACTTAACATAATGTTCTCCAGTTCCATCCATGTTCTTGCAAACAACAGTATTTCATTATTTTTAAGGCTGAATTATACTCCATTGTGTAAGCATTTACATAAATAAATATATTCACATATGTAATATATATACGTACACACATCTACAAACACACATATGGCACATATCCTAAAAAAAACAGGCCTAAAATATCGCATACCGAAATGTTAACAGTGGCTAGTTCAGAATAATGCAATCATAGGTGATTTTCACTTTCTTTTTCATACCTTTTGAATAGCCTGCACACTCTTTACAAATGGACTATGTATGGATTTTGTAATAATAAATAGTAAGAAATGTTTTCATTCTTTATGTAAAAAAGAATAATAAAAATCACCTCATTACATTGTGCCTTTACCATATATCATTATTTTCTTACCTTTAAACCTTCAGCCGGAAGTCTATAACCAAACCTTGCTGGAAGGTCATCAAATGTCTGCGATGCATTTTCAAAAGTATACTAAATATAAAATTAAAAATAATCAAGTTAAAACCAATTTATACATAACATTAACAACAAAAGTTTATTAAATTATATAAATTGTTATTTCCACAATTCTGATTTACTATAACAGTTTATTACAATAAAATCAACTTTGTAAATGTGCATCCACTAAAATAGCAAGGAGTATATACAATTTACAACATACACAACTGCTTAAATTGGATTTTGATTTCATATATTATTATCAAACAGTAATACTAATTCTATAACATTAAACAACCTACTGCTTTCTGAGTTTTTCCCGCAATTTCCTAGAAAGAAATTTTCTAGGTACATCATCTTTTCAGCAAGGGAATTCCATTTTATTTACTCTATATAATAAGGGCTTGATTTAATAGAAAAGATTTACAGGATTTCTGGATGTGATTATGAAAGATGACTTTACCTGGGGAAAGCAGCAGCATCAAATGACAGTTTTAAGGCACTGTCAATTTTGACATAAGCTGAACATTTTTATCCAGGGTTAAACAATCAAAAGACGAACTCGATGAAATACACACACAGAGAAAGGTGAAGGCATTCTAACTCTTTAATAACTCCTCCCCCAACCTTTCATACAGACATAGATTCCTATGCTACAATATTTATCAGTTCTCTTCCAAAACAAAAGGTCTCTGTGCTTTTAGAAGATAATAGTAGTGATAATAATTGTGAGGTGTTTGCTGTATCATTTAACAATGTTCTATCTGCTATTAGACAGCAAGAGAAACAAGAAAGATGGAAAAAACTAAGCATAGAGAGTAAATAAGTAACTTCTGAAATATAGGTAAAAATTATAACATACTAGAAATTAAGGCAGTTCATAACCTGTAGGCCATAAATAGAAAAAAATAGAACACATTTGTTTTGAATATAAAAAAGAATAGTTTGAAGATAGATAAAAGGAAAGAAGTAAGAGTGTTATAGAGATAGAAAAAGGTGGAAGGATCAAGTAATCCTTAAATATTCACAAAGCATGGATTAGATCACCTACCCAGATTAATAGCTATGTCATCCCTAAATCAAACACCCATTGGTGAGTCCTATTCTAGCCTCTTGTGTCAACCGCCAGAGCTGAGCCTCATTCTAGCCTATTGTGTCACAGCAAATAAACAGCTCCACAGTTTAACAGCAAGTCATAGCTGTGACCAAGTATAAATGCCCTGTGTCTCTCTAAAACAGCAAGCAAATGTTGGATCCAGAAACCTTCCATCTGTCAAGTCCCCTTGGCTTACCCTCAACTCAGGTCCTGGTAATCATACTGCCAGCAGGGCAAGCTAATGCAGCATAGAGAGAAGCTGGACAAACTGTAACAGGTAACACAAGATTGAGGTAGTGTGGTTCTTGCATTCTACTTGAATCCGATCCTAAGTGTCTTAGCATATCCATCTTTTACCTTCGCTTCTCATTGTATGTTTGTAATTAATTCAATAAACTGTGTGATTCAAGCATCTAAATTTGGGCACAGAACCTATCCATTCCATTACCTCTGGGATAATCAGTCTAGTAGTATACTTGGAGGCCACCAAGTGCACATAGTAATTGCTTTAGGGTGATTTCCCGTTGCAACAATAACAATCATAATTCATATTTGCAGAGTACTCTATAGTTTACAAAGTGCTTTAGGATGCTTTTAAACCCATTTTCACAATGTATCATTTAATGTCTTAATTAAAACATCTTTCTTTAATTGATTTAATTCAACTACAATCAGCTTAGTGTTGAACTTGGGAAAATTATTTATCTTCCCTGCCAAGGACACCACTATAAAATAAAGAAATTGATCTAGATTCTAGATCAATGAATATAGACCAAGGAAAAATACAAACACATGTAAGCAATACTTAAAAAAAAAAATGCACTTTTAAAATCAGGAAATCTACAACTATACTAACATACGCTTTTATCACTTCCTATTACAGAAAAGTTTCACTTTTTTTTTTTTTAATTTTTATTTTTTCACTGGACAGCACTTTACTGACACCCTCAGCCCCTGGGGCACGGTCAGCACAGACTCCCAGCGGGCATCTGCCTAGTCTGCTGCAGCCCTCCCTAAGGGGTACAGCAGGGAACGCAGAGATGTCTCCCAGGGCAGGAGGATGACATCACGCAGCCAGGCCCCCAGCTCCAGCACTCGAAGCCCAGGGGTAGGTAGGCTGGCTCTGGCCATGGGCAGTGAGAAGAGTTTCCCTTTTATTGCTGAAATTATAGAAATAAAATATATAGCTTGAACAGTTATAGTACTTGTAACATTGGGACTTGAAATAAGTTTTGTTATTGAGTGACACCCTTTTTGAAACCACTTTGTCCTTCCTTAACAGCAAAATAAGGATTGTCTCAGACTGCCTCTTAAAATCATTTTGTTTAAAACAAAAAACATTCCCATCATAAACAATACCAACAAAACAAAACAAAAGGTGTTTTACTTTTTTGGTATGGGGGAGAGAGGAGTGATGTTTAGGATATTAAAGCATATTCATTGTTAAAAATTTTGAAGAAGAAAATAAAGTTACTCATCTCTAGAATCATACCCTCGGTAGTTACCACATAAGAGTTTGAGTCCTTATCTTGAAAAGGTCTTTTCCTTAATCAATTATCCTTCTCGGCAGAAGTCTTAATAGAAGATTTAATTTAATTTATAAAGTAATATACAGTTAACAATTATTGAGCATTCACTAGGTACAGACATGTTAATCACTTTACAGGTATTAATTTATTTAATCCTCACAACAACGCTATAAAGTAAGCCACTTTTACTATCATCCTCATTCTATAGATTGACCACAGAATGTTGAAAATAACTTGCTGTAGTAAATTAGAGGAACCAGGATCCTAACTCAGGCGGTCTGGCCCCAGAGCCCTGGCTCTTCACCTACTACTCTGCACTGTCTTTGATACGCTCCCACTTTTACAATAAGTTAGCTGTGATTTAAGAAATGTTAAATAATTTGCCCAAAGTCATGCAACTACCAAGCAGTAGAGCTGGAATTCAACTCAGATTTTAACGCCATTGCTGGAGCTCTTAACTATCATGCGATATAATCCAGTCTATTCATGATAGCAGGCATTGGGTGTCAAGGAATAAACACTATTAAAAAAAAAATATGATAGAACTAAATCTCTAAGGGAAGCCTATTGAGTTCAAACATTTATTGAATTCCTGCTGTGTAACTGACACTAGGAACATAAAGTTTAGAAAGATTCAGTCCTGCCTTCCAGGTACTCACGGTACAGGGGGCTTAATGACTAGTCAGTGACATGCTTTAGTAGCATCTCTACAGCCTCTTAGAACTCAACAACTAGTTGGACAAACACTGTTGTCAGGAAATTAAAAGTCAGGTGGGAGAATTCAACTACCAACAGAAGGCATCTTGGCATACAAATAGTACAACTAAAATTGACTTATCTTTTCAATTGCAGCGTCCCGATTCCAATCCAAATGGAACTAGAACCAACCTGGTGTCCAATTTATTTAAATCTGTATTACTACAAACTCAGATTTCAGGGATGCTTTTTCAATTAAAAGGAAGAGCTAATATTAATATTTTCTACTGCTTGACTCACTTCCTTTGAATGGTTGTGTCACATCCACTTCCTCTGCCTTAATTTTCTGTTCCCCTTTTTACCAGTTATATGCCTTCACAAGCCACTCCCCTACAGCTATCTGTTTTCAGTCAGCTTTCTAACCTTTAGCGTCAGCATAGAGAGTAACCAGCTCCCAGGCTCCTTCACTAGATGACATCAACATACATTCCACACTTACCTGGCTGCTACACAGGGAATACGGTTGGCAAAAAAGGATTGACTGCTCTTCTACACCTAGCATTTTGTTTTGTCTCTAATTAAAAAATACAGCTCCGGGCCAGGCGCGGTGGCTCACGCCTGTAATCCTTGCACTCTGAGAGGCCAAGGCGGGCGGATTGTTTGAGCTCAGGAGTTCGAGACCAGCCTGAGCAGGAACGAGACCCCGTCTCTACTAAAATTAGAAAGAAACTATCTGGACAACTAAAAATATACAGAAAAAATTAGCCGGGCATGGTGGCACATGCCTGTAGTCCCAGCTACTCGGGAGGCTGAGCCAGTAGGATCACTTGAGCCCAGGAGTTTGAGGTTGCTGTGAGCTAGGCTGACGCCACGGCACTCACTCTAGCCAGGTCAACAGAGTGAGGCTCTGCCTCAAAAAAAAAAAAACACAGCTCGGGTAGTTTCATATCTTCTTGAGGTGGTGACTGAAGGATGATCAGAATGATAATTATAATGAAGATAAAAATGATATACAAAACATGTACTACATGTCGGATACTGTTCTAAGCAGTTTATCTTGTTTAATCATCACCACAACACTCCAGTTTACAAATAAACTGAGGCACTTACAGCAGCCAAATAATTTGATCAAGGTCATTTACCCCATCAGACAGCTGGACCACAGAATAAAAATCCCCCTCAGGTATAAAAGAGGGAAAGAAGACAAAAGAAGCGACGGGCATTAGAAACAACAGAGGAAGGGAGAAAGAGAAGGACACAAAATGGACAAATCAAAGGAGCAAAGGGAGACAAGGAGAACTTCAGTCCATGATCGGTCCATAAATCCTCTAACTCATTTCAAAAGTCATTCCGAGAATATTCCAAGGATTTTGGGGATCAATTTAGAGGAGAGATTAGAATAGCAATGGATGCAGTCCTTAAAAATTCTACTCCTACTCCACCTCGAAAACACCCAGACTATTCCAGAAAACAAATTTAATTAACCAGTTCCCTACTAAAGAGGGTGACAGAGGGTGTGAAATCTTACATGGACTATTAGAGTTGCTCTGCTTTCAAAAGCTACTGTATAGAAACCAGTCTGGCTTTCCCAAATTCTAGAATGATCACAGAATCCTTCAGAAGCGCCACAATATGCAGAAGCACAGGTGAGAACCACATCAAGCTTTGGTCAGCAACAATTCTAGTCCTTCTATTTCTCACCTAATATCATTAAGAAAATCAGTTGCATCCATAAAGTAAAAACAATCAACTCCTCAGCACAGACCTAGAGTATAGATCTGCGCACACACACACAGAGTTAGTTCCTCTTTTTCTACCTTCACAGAAGTAACAAATAGAAAATATAAACTGATGCTCCTTGACTTACAATGGGGTTACATTTGCATAAATCCCTCATAAACTGAAAATATCATAAGTCAAAAATGTTTTGTGAGTCTAATTCTACTGACAGTATTTTCAGCTTATGATGAGTTTATCAGGACATTAACTTCATGTTAAGTCAAGGACTATTCATTAGAATGCATATAGCTTTGGCACCATCATAAAGTTAAAAAATCATTAGTTGAACCATCTTAAGTCAGGGACTGTCCCTACACTTTCCAGTGTAGAAGACAGTAGTCCTCTCTGTAACCTAGAGAGGACTTCTAAGATTATAAGGAACAATTTTCTTCTTTAAAAACTTTTCTATCCACCATCAATGACCGTCAGACCACTGTGGTTCTCTTTTGACCCATTAATGCTAATCTTAGGTTGAAATTTTCTATGGACATCTTGTAGAACTTCTTAAAATATTATTATCAATAGAGATACTATTGAGATCTTATAGTCATTAGAGACATACTAGGTACCAAGAAAAAGTTAAGATTCTACATCAATACACAAGCTTTCAGGTATGTGTACGCCAACACCCACGTATGCACACACACTTTAGCAAAAGCAACATCACTCATCAGGTATTTATTGTACATGAAATCTTACATTAGATATTAAGCAACAGAAAATGAACAAGATACCCCACTTTCAAATAACTGTGTGCTTGGGTATGTTTGTAGATAAAAACATAAGATTCCATCAATTCAGGGCTTTTTAAAAGTTTTTCTTTAAGAGATGTTTTCAGACATCAATAAATTTTACTGTACTTACTGCTAAAATGTCTGCTTCTACTGGCAGTAAGTTTAAGAATGCAAAGAGCTGGACAGTCAAGATGGTGTAGACCTGTGTGGCCGACAGCATGAGCATCCCTAGGGAGAGCAGCATCTCGTTGTAAAATCACCTGGAAGACAAGGACATGAGTAACAATGAGAGCTACTGCCCTATTCAATCATTTGATATGTTAATTCTTGATATCCAAAAATATCCCTTTTAATTAAAAACATCTGTTAAAATTAAAATTAAAGCTTGTATTTCAAAAGCATAAGAATTCACACAGATTTGGACATTTAGGTTAAAACCCAAGATTAGTCAATACCTACATAATTTATGGTGATTCTGAGTTCTATTTTAATCACAAAACAAATATCTTCCCATAGTGCTCTGTTTACAGCACAGTCTACTAACCCAATTTTCAGAGAATCTAGATTTCAACCAAAATAACAGTTAAAAACACAAACAAATACCTTTGCTTTAAAGTTTTCTACAATTTAAACAATGTTTAGCCTTTGATTCAATATAAATTCATATGTAAATACTCTTGTATGTTGTGCCCACATTAGAGGATGTCAAAGAAATAATTGCTGCTTCTTATAAATACTTTTTGTTCTTTACCTCCTAATAATTTATACTTTTTTTCTTCTCTATATCCTAATGGCAGCAGTGTAGCTACCTCTCCCAAACTCATCCTGTTCTCCACATGAGTTGCTACCTATCTTTCAGCAAAAAGATACCATGAAACAAGTAAATATCAAAATTCTCATTGGTAAGCCTCAATCAATTGTATAATATACTTTTAAATAAGTAAAAACAAAGTTTACAAAGACAAGGGCCTTTTAAATGAATTATTTCATTGAATACCACCAACTCATGTACTAATAATATCAATTTTGACGGCAATTATTGTTGATAAGTGCTCTGGATTCGGAAGCCACCATACAGACTCAAACTTTGAATCTTTGACTCACACACTGAAAGTAAAATACCTATGAATAATTTTTAAACTATCACCTTATAAAGCCATTAATATCAGAGATAAAATAAAAATGAAAACATGTTCGAGTGTAGATCTGCTCCACAGAGACAGAAAGTAAATTAGTGGTTGACTAGGGCTGGGCATGTGGGGTAGGGGTGAGGGATGGGAAAGGTGGGAATGGGGAATGACTGCTAAGGGGCTGGGAGGGGGGTGCTGAAGATGTTCTAAGATTGTGGTGATGGTTGTACAATTCCATAAATGTACTAAAAATCGCTGCACTGTATAAGTGGCTGAATTTTATAGTGTGCAAATTGTATCTCTAATAAAGCTGTTTTTAAAATGTATAGATTTGCTTACATTAGTTTCTTAAGTAAGATACATTTTATAACATACCACTGTGCAGAAAAGAGTTAACAAAGCAGGCCTGAGATTTCTATCCTGGCAACAGCTCAGTATGCTTAAACTTTGCAAACAATGTGGTTTAAGTTGAACACCCATTTTCCTTCTCCGAGTCTGGAATTTTGGTACATGCTAGGCAGAGGGTATCTACATAAATAACCTCTAATATAAATTCTGGGCACTGAGTCTCTAATGAGCTTCCCTGGTAGATATTTCACACATACTGTCATAACTTGCTGTTGGAGAAATTAAGTGCATTCTGAGTGACTTCACTAGGAAAGGACTCTTAGAAGCTTAGACTTGGTTTACTCTAGACTTTAAGCCATGCAGCTTTTCCTTTTACTGATTTTGGTTTGTATCCTTTTACTGAAATAAATCACAGTCATGAGTACAACCGTATGTTAGAGTCCTGTAAGTCCTTTTAGCGAATCATTGAACATGGACAATTTCTGGCCAGAAATCATGCTATAAAAACATACAAATGCTTACAAAATAAGGTATAGCTGCTATTAAATTTTACTAGGAAGAATAAATATGCACTATGTTGATCAGTGACCTGTTTGGGAAACTAATCTGAATAAGAAC